CTGCAGATCCCAAATCTTTTCAATCCCATAAATCAAGCCAATCACCCCTTTAATGTATTGGTCCGTTGGAGCCTATTTTGGCACTATAAAAAGGGGTGTTTGGGTCTGCTTTACTCACCAATTCACTTCACAATATTCATATTATCATTGCATCCAAATCACATTGTTTTCCATAGCTTTCTAGAGCCAATTTGTGTGAAGTTTGAGTTGTTCTTGAGCGTATATATTTTACTCATATCCACTCTTAAGGAGAGTCTTGTTCTTGAGTGTCTTAGTGTTGTATACACGTTAAGGGAAGCTTGTTTCCCTTGGTTGTACGAAGGAAAGGTATTTTCCTTCGGGTTGAAGTCTTGGAGTGCGGTATCTCCGAGAAAGGTTGTTGAGGCTCGTGGGACTTGAGTTCTCAGGTTGTAACAGTTTGTTAAGCACCCGTAAGCTTAACGGAAGTAGTGTAGCTCGAGAGAGTCTCTCGGGAGACTGGATTAGCCACACGTTGTGGTGAACCAGTATAAATCTTGGTGTGCTCCCTTTACGCTTTCTACGCTCTTTACTTTTCACGTTCTTAATTTTTTATTCCTGCGATTTCTGCGATCAAACGCTATTCACCCCCCCCCCTCTAGCGTTGGTCACTTATTCTAACAATATTATATGAATTGGAAAAAATATTTATTTTTTAACTTTGGACTCGTTATCTTTTACAGAGTATTCTTTATGTTTATGATCCGTTTAAATTTTAAATCAATACTTTTATTTAACGTTCTTGTTCTTTTTTATACAAATTTAAACATTAAATTCAATATTCTTTAAGTAATGTACGCTAATTTTTTTGGCACGGTTTGAGCATGGGTACGGTATTGTTATTGTTATTATTATTATTATTATTATTATTATTATTATTATTATTATTATTATTGCAATTATTATTACTATTAATATTTCTATCACGATTATTATTATTATTATTATTATTATTATTATTATTATTATTATTATTATTATTATTATTATTATTATTATTATTATTATTATTATTATTATTATTATTATTATTATTCTAGTGCGTGTAGCGAAAATCCAATGCAACTCAATAGGCAACGCGGTACCGAGTTACAGTTGCAGAAAGTAATGATGAAGTGACTAATATTAATAATACTCTATAATAATAGTAACACTCGTAATAGTAATAGTAATAACAATCATAATAATAATAATATTAATAATAATATAATAATAATATTAATAATAATAGTAATAGTCACACAATAATAATAATAATAATAATAGTAATAATAATAATAATAATAATAATAATAATAATAATAATAATAATAATAATAATAATCTAAGAATAATAATAATAATAAAGGAAAATTCTTCCAAAGCAAGTTTTTGGATATTTTAGGGTACCCGGAGTATATTTTTAGAAATGATGGGACCTGGAAGTTATTTCTACAAAATTGAGGGTACCTAACAACAATTTTTGGGAAGAAGAAGATGAAAAGTTAACGGAGAAAATAAATTTGACGGAGGGATGGACGAGAAGTGTCCCTGGAGTTAGTTTTCAGAAGGAATGGTTTCCTGTTGTTATTTATGATTGGATTCCCTGTGAGGCACCTGGTAAACCTGCATTTGCCACCAGCAGGAAGAAAAATGAATTGTGGGTCTCTATCTTGGAAAAAGCTTATGCTAAGCTTCATGGTTCGTATGAGGCATTGGAAGGTGGACTTGTCCAAGATGCTCTTGTTGATGTCATTGGGGGCGCGGGTGAGGAAATTGATATGAGAAGTACTGAAGCACAGATCGAGTGGTATTGTAACACCCTAATCCGTCCAGGTCTGCAGCCCCTTTCGAACTAAAGTATTAACTTGGTAATCGTAAAATTTAAAACTTTTCAAACACTTTTATTTATCATAATAATATTTTTCATATCATAAATAGTACAGAGTTAAGTTATAACGCCTTCGAATTGTTTAGTATTGGTGTTTGTATTAAATAAAAACATAAAGTTAAGTTTTGGTAGTGTATTGTAAGAATAAACAATTTTTGTAGTAAAAATAACACCATTTAGTAAAAATATTACTAGTATTAGTTAACCATAGTAAAATAGGATTTTAGAACTCAAAAATAGCATTTTCAGACAAATTTTTGGATCAAAACTTCGGGTGATCGATCCAGCCCTCTGGATCGATCCATACTATGAAAAATCACTCCCAGGGGATCGATCCAAGCCCCTGGATCGATCCAGACAGTGGTGTTTCAGCAACTGTTCATCTTCTTCTTCGTTCGGGTCCAATTTCGGAAATATCGTTTTTAGTTATCGAACTTCAACGAAACTATATAGAGATGTTCTCCAAGGTTCATAGATCATTTTGGCATCATTAATTCATAGTTTTAACATCAATTTCATGGTTTATGATTCTTGGTTCTTCAAGCACGTCAAACACAAAACTCAACCAAACGATCGTTTATGAACGTAGAAACGATCTATACGAACATTCTAGTCACTAGATATATCTACGGGCTTACCTCGAAGTGTAATGGAGGTTTTGAAGATTTTCCGGCGAAACTTCCGGCGATGATAGCTCTCTACTCTGGCGACCTCACACCAATACAACAACACCACTGCGTTCTCCTCACTCCCAGCAACAGAATAGATAGAAAGTTTGTAAGAAATGGTGAGGAATTGAAGGAATGGAGATGGTCCTTATATAGCCAAGTGAAGAGGAAGAAGACACGGTGATGACCTACGTACAATGTAGAGCACACAGTTTCTAGTAATTACTACAAATATTTTGAGATGAATCATGTTGTGGAAGCTTTCATTTTTCTTCCCGGAGGAGTTGACACTATGGAAGGTTTGTTCACCTTGATCTCGTGGGCTTCTGAAGGGTTACACAATAGACCCACTGGTCTCTTGAATATTGACGGTTATTTCAATAACCTAATCAAATTTCTAGACGATGCGGTGAGGCAGAACTTCATGGCTTTGAATCAGAGAAAACTTTTCATTTCTTCTTTCTTTGTTGATGAGCTTTTAGACAAAATAGAGTTTGCTAAGGCTTTTCCAGGTCCTGGTGCTAAATATGACGAGTTTGCAAATCCTGGGAGATTAGACTTAGAATTGCATCTGTAACTTTCCTCATGTAATCCAAGTTGTATTTTGTGTTGAAATAATATTATCCATAAATATTATTTAACGTTGTATGGCCAGCGCGAGTTACATTTTCTTCATGCTTTAGTCTTTCATTGTTGGGGTCACTGTTTCACGTCATGTTTTGTATCGTCACCACAGTCGTGATCTTTCACGTCAATAGGACATTCGAATGAGTCAATTTGTCTTGTCAGCATCACTTTACTTCATTTATTCAATCAGACTACATTGACGTTTCCGATGATAAGTAATTAGGTCATTAATCGCTTCATAACAAGGCATCAGTTCATTCAACAAGGTTGAGTTGTCTATAGCTTTTAACAAGCAGGTTCTTTGTATCTGACCGAACATGTTGTTAGTTCATAGTAAAGGATAACAATTCTCGATCGTCAGTTTGTTTGAATTTCCTAACAAGGATTTGTGAGTATCCTGACCGTAAGTCAATCTTAGAGAATACAATAGATTCTCTAAGCTGATCAAATAAGTCATGATACGAGGTAAAGGATAACGAATTGTTCAACTGACAATAGTTGATATAGAGTTTCATTGATTCGCGTATGAACAAAACAGGTATTCTCCCAAGGAGGAACACTTGATCGGATGATTCTTTGTCAAGAAGTCACTGATGGAAACACATTCAATATAGAGTTACGAATATTGGTCCTTCAGTTCAGATCTTTCTTTCACGTATCACACGAAAACACTTTATGCTCCTTTTGGTTGAGAGGTTTGCACACATAAATTCGAGATAAACTCAGTCGGTTTAGAAATCAGCTTTGCTTTCACCTATATAAGGTTTCGATCATCGATCTTCAGTTGAAGAATTCTTCCTCAAGAGTTGCCAACACTAACGTCGTTTGATCAACCAATGTATACTAAGGATAATTGTCAAATTCCTTGGATGGTATTTTAATGAGATTTTACAAGGAGTTGTTGCTTAACGAACAATTTCGATTCCTAAGATATAATCGCATATTTGCATTTTAACGAGTTAGACATCAGAATGGGATACTTTAGATAACAGAGTTTATTGATTCTAAACATTCATGTTTGAATCAGCGATTAGATCGTCTTGAGTCCATATGAGGATCTTTGACATCGGCTTCACAAATGTTGTTCAACATAAATCATTTCTTCAGAGTCATCTTACTTTTATGCGACTTTGCGATCAGTTTCTCACGATCAGTTTCGTCCTTCGCGATGTGGTGCGTACGTTAATAACGGATCAGAGGGTCAAATATTTTTCATTCATTCTTGCGTCTCTTCACGAAAGTTTGACTTGAGTCTAGCTCGATATAGTTTTTATACTAACAATTATTATCTAATGAGAATTTAACACAATCAACAATTACTAAGTAAATTCTCATACCTTTCCTGGAGCAGAGGGATGCGAGAGTCGTGGATGTGATTGACATTTTTTCTTTAAATATCAAATTTTGATCCGAAGATCGGTTTTAAAACCATTTGCTCTGATACCAAATTGTAACACCCTAATCCGTCCAGGTCTGCAGCCCCTTTCGAACTAAAGTATTAACTTGGTAATCGTAAAATTTAAAACTTTTCAAACACTATTATTTATCATAATAATATTTTTCATATCATAAATAGTACAGAGTTTTCAATATTGCGGAAGCTTAACAAATCATAACCACAAACATAATTTATTTTTGTATTTCAATTCAAAACCATCACATAACATTCTTATTTGTTAAAAACATCATTTTTATTGTGGTAAATCATTTTTATAATGATCATAATCAATTGGTATCAAAAATAGGATTTTAGAACTCAAAAATAGCATTTTCAGACAAATTTT